ATAATTACAATAAATGCTTACTACTACTACTATTAAGGGGCAGATGGACCTGAAAAGAAAGGTAGGAGCCTGTTTCTGTGGAAACCCCTGAAGCCCTAACTAAATGCAAATTCCTTCCTGTAGACAATAAAGAGCCATGGAAAATTTTTGAAAACCTCTTGAAATAGAGGGGGAAGATGTTGTTGAGGAAGTTTATGTATGTACTATGTTGCACCATGTGTATTAAAATGGAGCAAAACCTGGAGGCAAGAACCCACTTGGAGGCCCACAGCAATAAGCCAGATAGGAAAAATAATTGGCCAGTAATTTCGAAGGAAGAACGCATATGCCTTGGTGAGAATACATGTGGAACGCAAGGGAGAAGTCTAGTTGGGTGAGGGGATAACAGACAGAAATAGGAGATCCAGAGAGGTATTTGGGTTTGGAGTAAAGAAGTAGCAAGAATGATTTCATAATAATGACAGGCAGCTCACAGTGCCAGATGGAGCTGAAAGAACCCACGGTTACTGACTGGATTTAGCCATCACAGTGACACTCGAACTGTGAAGGAGAACTGGTTATGATGAGGGGAGGGATCGGGTGGTTCTGCAACAGTCCTGGGAATCACAGTCTCCTTCTCTCCTCTCTTTTACAGGAGAGCATTCCCTTTTCCCACACTGCATCTCCTCCTCTTTTTCTCTCTCCCTTTTCCTCAGTGTTCTGAGGTTTCTCCTTCCCCAAACCCTTCCCCTTGCACACCTGGGGTCGTCTTTTGCCCCTACAGTGCTCATGCTAAGAAGTTTTTCAGCTCTTACCTTTTCTCTTTCTTGGTCTCACTATAATACTTCTTTTACTTTTATTTTTTTGATTAAAATTGTATGGCAATTTATAAATTACAAGAAATAAACAAAATTTGTAAAGAAGAAAAAATATATGTTCCATCAATCCCATCAACCAGAGATAACCACTATGCACACCTGGTAACATCTTGATTTTTCATGTCCATTTTATCAAAATATTTTGTAATTCTCTCTTTAAAACAACAATATTTTGAGTCTTAAAACCCCTCATGGATAATTTTGGAGATAATCCTGTTTATATTTGTCTGTAGAGGTTGATGGAGATGTTTTTTTTTTTTCTTCAACTTTTATTTTAAGTTCAAGAGTACACGTGTAGGATGTGCAGGTTTGTTACATAGGTAAACGTGTGCCATGGTGGTTTGCTGCACAGATCAACCCATCGCCTAAGTATTAAGTACAGCATCCATTAGCTGTTCTTCCTGATGCTCTCCCTCCCCTCGCCACCCCCCTGACAGGTCCCACTGTGTTGTTTCCCCTCTTGTGTCCACGTGTTCTCATCGTTCAGCTCCCATTTATAAGTGAGAACACGTTGTGTTTGGTTTTCTGTTCCTGCGTTAGTTTGCTGAGGATAATGACTTCCAGCTCCATCCATGTCCCGGCAAAGGACATGATCAATACAGCTATCTTTTCACATGTATCCATTCAAATCCCTTATAAGAGCATCAGTGCACTCACTGCTGCCCCTCCCATATGCCATGGTAATAAAATCCCATATAGTTAAATATCCTTTTAGGATATATGTTTATTCTTAACTAGTATTTCATCATATGGAGGAGTCATATTTTATTTAACCAATGTCTCATAGTCATGCATTTAAGTTGTTTCTAGTTCATCAATACTATAATAATGTGATGAATATCCTTAAACATACATTTTTAAAAATTAGTTTTCATTGTTTCTTTAAAACAAATCCCTAAGACAGAAATTACTGAGTCAGGGAGTATAAATAATGTATGGATTTGGCACATATTTTCAAATTGTCTTCTAGAAAGATTGTACCCCCAGTTATTTATCTATTGCCCTAAATTCTCAATAATGCTGAGTCTTACAAGTTTTTAAAAGATCATTGTTAATATAATTTAAAAAATTATTCCTTACTATATTTTATCTTTAACTTTTTGGATAATTAGTGAATTCTAGATAAGTTTGAATTATTATTATATTATTACAGGTGTTCGCCACCACGCCTAGCTAATTTTTGTATTTTTAGTAGAGATGGGGTTTCACCATGTTGGCTAGGCTGTTCTCGAACTCCTGACCTCAGGTGATCTGGCCGCCTCAGCCTCTCAAAGTGCTGAGATTAAGGCATGAGCCACTGCACATAGCCATGTTATTTTATTTTAAAATTCCTTCCTTCCATCATGATTTATACATAGTTCATTCAAAGTAAAAATATCCAAATAACACAAAGACATCAGGATCAAAACTAGAGTATCTCTGAGGCTTTTCATCTTATGTGTTATCATGGAAATTTGTATATATTTACAAAGTAGAGAGAATCACCATTTTCAGAACTACCACTATTACCAACAGTTTGCCAGTCTTACTTCACATACTCCTCTTCCCTTTAATAAAGTATTATAAGGCAAGACCAAGACATCTTTTCTTTACATCCACAAAAACTTCAGTGTTCATCTCTGACTGATAAAAGCATATAAAAATGTATGGGGGTGGTAAGCTGGGTGCAGTGGCTCCCACCTGTAATCCTAGCACTTTGGGAGGTAGAGGCAGGTGGGTTGCTTGAGCTCAGGAGTTTGAGACCAGCCTGGGCAACATGACAGACCCTGTCTCTACTAAAAATACAAAAAAACAGCCAAGCATGGTGATGTGTGCTTGTGGTCCCAGCTACTTGGGGGGCTGAGGTGGGCGCATCGCTTGAGCCTGGCTGCTGGAGGTTGTAGTGAGCTGAGATCGTACCACTGCACGCCAGCCTTGGGGACAGAGCGAGACCCTGTCTGAAAAAAAGAAAAAGTATGGTGGGTGTAATCTTAGTAGGGATAAAGATCTTAAGATAAAATAATGAAGTATGCTGTTAACATTTCAGGAATCAGTAATCAGGTGTGAGAGTTGGAGCTGGGGATGAAGGATTAGGGATCAGGGGCTTTCCCAGAGAGGCCAAACCATGCCATTTAAATGGCTGCCCATGCAGTCTAACCTCGACACCACGTGGTAGAGAAAGGACACAAAGTCAGAGACCAAAATGTGTTACCCTCTGTTGTGGTTGCTGCAACAATGCTCCAGGAAAGGTGTGTACTACCCTTGCCTGTCTCAGAGCCTCCTGCCCTGGTGCACTGGGATAAGCCCATTCTAACCCTGTTTTATCACATCATTTGCTGCTGAAGAGTTTGCCAGGGTTCTCAGTTGCCCATGGGGACATTTTTCAAACAGTCCTAGGCTGGGAGTTGGTGAAGCCACAGAACAAACATAGCAGATCTTCCTGGAGTATCATTTTTGTACAAATATCTCAGGATAAATGTGAATTTTATGTGAAGACAAATATGACAATATTTTGAGTATTGAAATCCCTCATAGATAATTTTTGAGATAATCCTGTTACATTTGTCCATAGAGGTTTATCGAGATCTTTCCAAATATGTTCATTCAATTCCTGTGTAAGAGCATCAGTGTAATTGCTGCTACCCTGCCCATGTGCCAGATGGGAATCAGGGAAAAGAGACCTTTTTATGTTCTATTGTCTTTACAGGATGGGGCCTTGGGACAAATTTTTCTGAACAATTAGAGAAAATACTTGTGGAAAGATATAACCCAAAAGAATGGGTTTTAACACCAAGAACTCAGTTTATTTTTCAAACTAATGTCTTCTAGAACTTTCACTTACTAAAGAATCATGTCTCCCTCCATGCTCTAATTTCTTTTTTCTTTTTAGAGATAAGATCAGCTGGAGTGCAATGGCCATAACAGCTCACTGCAGCCTTGATTTCCTGGGCTCAAGCAATCCTTCCACCTCAGCCTCCTGAATAGCTGAGACTACAGGTATGCACTACCATGCCCAGGTAATTTTTTAAATTTTTGTAGAGATGGAGTCTCACTATGTTGCCCAGGCTTGTCTCAAACTTCTGGCCTCAAACTATCCTCCCACCTCAGCCTCCCGAATAGCTGGGGATTACAGCTGCATGCCATCACACCTGGGTAATTTTTAAATTTTTTATAGAGATGGGAGTCTAGCTATGTTGCCCAGGCTGGTCTCAAACTCCTGGCCTCAAGTGATCCTTCTGCCTTGGCTTCCCAAAGCAGTGGCATTACAGGCATGAGCCACTGCATCCAGCCAACACTCTTCTTTTTTTTTTTTTAATAACACTTTGGTCTCGTCAAAGTTTTATGAACCATAATAGTTACATTTTAAAAGCTCTGCCAAAGATTGTCTAGGCATATGTGTATAATAGAAAATTCGCATAAATTTTAAAAGTTAAAACATGAGAGTTCAAGGAGATAGTGCATTTGTCCTGGGCTTCTTTGAATTGCCCCCAGAGATGGCCCATGGCAACAAATGCTACTAGAGAAGTACCTTCCGGGGAAACGTTTGAGAAACACTAATCATCCCAGCTTCACTACAACCAAGATTATCTGCTTGTTTTTCTTCACATTTACCTCTGATTTTGTACATAACAATTTTCTTCTAATGCAACCTCTCTTTCTCCAGCAATTAACAGCCTCTCAAATTCCCACCATAAAGAAGCATCTATTTGTTTATCTAAAATCATTATTCTCAACTGTATATCCTATCAAGATTTATGCACATAGGTTGACGGTGTTTGTGGTCACAGGTACTTGCTGACATGTTTATTTATTCACTGATTGATTCAACTAGCTTTATGGAACCTATGGTTCACAAGACATTATGTTGGGCATAGCAGGTATGAAAAAGAACCAGACATGAAACCTGTGGATGAGGACAGTATGGCCAAAGGGAAAAAAGACCCAGATTCCTTCAATATACTGTAGGGCATGGTCAGGGAAATAAGTCTGTGGAACCATTGAAAACATATGGAACATCCTCCCTATGGAGGGCTTTCCTAAGCTACATCTTGGATTGGCACTCAACAATGACTTTAATCAACTCAGTCCTGACTGTCCAAGGAAAATGACTGAATTTCCTTTTTTGTTTGTTTGTTTCAATGGTTTCTCTGTAGGCCTGTGGGGGAAGATCCTATGGAACCACAGAACACCACACAGGTATCAATATTTGTCCTCTTAGGGTTTTCACAGACCCAGGAGCTCCAGAAATTCCTGTTCCTTCTGTTCCTATTTATCTATGTCACCACCATTGTGGGAAACCTCCTTATCATGGTCACAGTGACTTTTGACTGCCAGCTCCACACACCCATGTATTTTCTGCTCCGAAATCTAGCTCTCATAGACCTCTGCTATTCCACAGTCACCTCTCCAAAGATGCTGGTGGACTTCCTCCATGAGACCAAGACAATCTCCTACCAGGGCTGCATGGCCCAGATCTTCTTCTTCCACCTTTTGGGAGGTGGGACTGTCTTTTTTCTCTCAGTCATGGCCTATGACCGCTACATAGCCATCTCCCAGCCCCTCCACTATGTCACCATCATGAACACTCAACTGTGCGTGGGGCTGGTGGTAGCCACCTGGGTGGGGGGCTTTGTCCACGCCATTGTCCAACTGGCTCTGATACTTCCACTGCCCTTCTGTGGCCCCAACATCCTAGATAACTTCTACTGTGATGTTCCCCAAGTACTGAGACTTGCCTGCACTGATACCTCCCTCGTGGAGTTCCTCATGATCTCCAACAGTGGGCTGCTAGTTATCATCTGGTTCCTCCTCCTTCTGATCTCTTATACTGTCATCCTGGTGATGCTGAGGTCCCACTCAGGAAAAGCAGAGAGGAAGGTAGCTTCCACCTGCACCACCCACATCATCGTAGTGTCCAAGATCTTCATTCCCTGTATCTATATCTACGCCCGGCCCTTCACCCCATTCCCCATGGACAAGGCTGTGTCCATCAGCTACACGGTCATGACCCCCATGTTCAATCCCGTGATCTACACTCTGAGAAACCAGGACATGAAAGCAGCCATGAGGAGATTAGGAAAGTGCCTAGTGATTTGCAGGGAGTAAACTTTAAGTAAGTTGACTTCAAATGACAAATTTCTCTGGATTTTTGTTTTCCCATGTGAAAAATGGAGGAAAGTCTTTATAAAGCGTAACAAATCAGATTACACTTATATTTCTTGAGGACCTACTGCTGTGTCAAGTACTATGTTAAGCACTTCCACGCTTTTTGTTTGTTTGTTTGTTGTTTTTTTTTGATGGAGTCTTGCTCTGTCACCCAGGCTGGAGTGCAGTGGTGCAATCTCGGCTCAGTGCAACCTCCACCTCCCGGGTTCAAGTGATTCTCCTGCCTCAGCCTTCCAAGCAGCTGGGATTACAAGCACCCACCACCATGCCCGGCTAATTTTTGTATTTTTAGTAGAGACGGTGTTTCACCACATTGACCAGACTGGTCTCGAACTCCTGACTTCAGGTGATTCACCCGCGTTGGCCTCCCAAAGTGCCGGAATTACAGGCGTGAGCCACAGTGCCCGGCCTAACACTTCCACACTTTTATCTCATTCTTTTAATGAAACCGACAGTGGATATATTATTATTGTTGTTAAATTAAACAGTTTTTACAAATGAGAAAACTCAGAGAGGAGTGACTTGCTCAAAGGTGAACAGTAAGTGAGTGGCAGAGTTTGCCCTGAAACCTGGTGCTTCTGACTCCAAGTTCAGAGGCAAGAAACAGGAATGGGATTTGAAACTCAGAGTTCCCTGCAACCACAGGAGAAAACCTAGAGAGGTCTTCATCTATAGAGAAGTATCTGTGATGAATGGTCAACTGCTTCATCGTAACTCTGGAACAGTTACATTCTTTTCTACTCCCCACCTCCCTGCCTCATTCCCCACTGTGGAATTTAGAAAGTTATCTCGCCCTCCCGTCTCCCTCGCAAGAAAGTTTGAGTCGCCGCTCCCGGGTTGCCCGCGGAGTCGCGCGTCGGGAGCTACGTAGCGCAGGGAAGGCATAGCTTCTGTTTTCGTCGGATGAGGAGGGCCCAGCGGTGGGGGTCCGGCCGGGTCCGGGGCCTGGGGACGCCCAGGCGGCCGCAGCGGAGCGCCGCGTCAAGGTCTCCAGCCTGCCCTACAGCGTGGACCCGCTGGTGTCCGACAAGAAGCCGCCCAAGGAGGCATCCCCAATGCCGGCCGAAAGCGCCTGGGCCGGGGCCACCCTGCGGCCACTGCTGCTGCTGGGGCTTCGCGCTGGGGAAGCGCACAGCCCGGGGCAGCCGATGAAGCCCTTGGAGACCGCCTGGATCAAGTCGGAAAACTCCCTAAGACCGAGCGGCGTGGATGCAGGAACCCGGTCGATAGTCGTCCCGCCAAGACATATGAGCCCTACTACCTGCACGCTGAGAAAACTCAAGACCAATCCGAAGCCGCGCACAGCTTTACCAAGTCCCAGCTCCGCGCTCTGGAGCGCAAGTTCCGCCAGAAACAGTACCTCTCCATTGCAGAGGGTGCGGAGTTCTCCAGCTCTCCGAACCTCACAGGGACTCAAGTCAAAATCTGGTTCCGGAACCGAAAACTGCCGGAGTCAGAATTGGAAAAGCTGAAAATAACTGCAAAACCCATGCTATCCTCCAGCTTCAGTCTCCCTTTCCCCATCAGCTCGCCCCGGCAGGCAGCGTCCATATACGGAGCATCCTACCCGTTCCGTAGACCTGTGCTTCCCATCCCGCCCGTGGGACTCTATGCCATGCCAGTGGGATATGGCATGTACCACCTGTCCTAAGGAAGACCAGATCCATAGACTCCATGATGGATGTTTGTTTCAAAGGGTTTCCTCTCCCTCTCCAAGAAGGCAGGACCAGCCAATACTCCTGCTCTGCATATCCTGTGTGCACCACCCTAAGCGGCTAGGCCGACAGGGCCACACGACATAGTTGAAATTTGTTCTTTAGGCGGAGGCACCAAGCCTTGTTTTCTTGGTGTAATCTTCCAGACGCCCCCTTCTCCTTTCGCAAAGAAAGGCTCTGATGGTTTTTAATGTATAAATATATATAATAAAACATAATACATTTTTATACAGTAGATGTAAAAATTCAAATTATTTTAAAAGGCAACATTTATATACATATGTGCTTTTTTTTCTATATATCACCTTCTTAAAGAGACTGTGTAGGTCCATTTGTTGTATCTTCTTAAAGAGGGAGACAAATTATTTGCAAAATTTGATAAAGTCAATGATTTTGATGGGATTATTGACTTCTGTTTGTGGAAAACAAATATTAGAATTGGACACAATGCACATAGAAAGTATTAGATATGGAGAGATTATTCAAAGTGAAGGTGACACATCACATCTCTGCATTTTGCTTGCATTAAAAGAAACCTTTTTATGTACTATCGTATTTGTTCCTATCTCTTCCCACCCTCACCCTACCACACACACATTTTCACAGTTTTACCTTTTGAAAGAATTTTTTTGTAAGACCAATAACTGGGATGAGAAGAATCCTGAGAATGCCTAGAGGTGATGTAGAAAATTAGAAATATTTCCTAATTCTTCTCAAGGCTGTTGCTTCACTTCATTTCAGATAATTGGAGAGTAAAAAGTTAAAGCCTGCTGGGAGGAATTGATGGTTTCTGAGAAACACTAGGTACACTCATCCTCACAGATTGCAAAGGTGATTTGGGTGCGAGGGTATAGTAATTTTCTGCTTAAAAAATGAGTACCTTGTAATCATTACCTATGTGCTAAATATTCTTGAACAACTAGTAGATCCAGGAAGAAAAAAAAATGCTTTCTCTGTGTGTGTACCTGTTGTATGTGCTAAACTTATTAGAAACTTTTAGATAATTTTTAACATGTTGGGGCAGAAAATAAAGCCATGTTTTGACTTGGTGAAAATGGAGTTGCCAAACAGCCCATTAAGCTCCCTGATATTTCACCTTCCTCTCCATCTCTCCCTTCCCTCCAGTATGCCTTTACTCCTTGGAAAGGACGCCTTGTACAATTTTATATATTTTATTGAAGAATTATTATCTCTTATTCTGAATTAAATTAACATTTGTTTTATTGCAAAAAGAAAAGAAAAGAAAGTTATCTCACTTTTAGCATTGTCTAAATAGTTCCCCAGAAGGCATTTGCCCTTTGTTTTTGTTCCTTCTTTACTAAATACTCCTTGGATAATCTTCACACTGTGCTACTTAGCTGAAATGGCTTAAATATGTCCCCTTCAGAATTTAGGTATTGAAATTTAATGGTCAATGTGATGGTGTTAAGAGGCGAAGCCTTTAAGAGATGATTAAGCCATGAGGCTTCCTCCCTTATTAATGGGATTAAGGTCTTTATAAAAGAGATTTCATGCAACATTAGGCTCGCTAGCCCTTTGGTCTTCTGCCATATGAGGACACAACATTTCTCCCCTCTGGAGGATGCAGCAACAAGCTGTCATCTTGGAAGCAGAGAACAGGCCTCACCAGACAACTGAACCTGTTGGCACCTTAATCTTGGACTGTCCAGCCTCCAGAACTGCAAAAGAATAAATTTCTGTTCTTTACAAATCATGCAGTCTGTGGTATTTCGTTATAACCACATAAACAGATTAAGACATTACTCAACACAATCTTTCCATCATTTGTATAGTATGGCTGAGAGGAGGATGGCATAGTATAATTGAGTGACCAAGGCCAGAGAGGGCAGGGCCATGCCTACTAGTGTTCCAAATCTGGGGTAGTGAATTCAGTTCCAAGGCTACTACTTCATGTGTTTCTGCTTTTCTCTTTAAGTGGAATGAGAGCTTCTTGAGGGCAGGTGCCATGCATTATTCATCTTTAAATCCTCCCAGCACCTGAAGGGTACCTGACAGAGAGAGGAAGTATTTTTACTTTTTTTAACATTTTTCCAGCTTCCTATACTTTCCCTCTGTCAATTTCTGTATATTTATTTCTTCCATGTTCCTTGGGGTGTGCATCATTTTGTAAAAGTCTCAGGCAATGTGTAATATGGACCCAAAGTTAAGAAGATAATGCAGAAGCTTTTTGTTCCCCCTTCTCTCCCAACAACCATCCCATCCAAGAAATGAAAGTCAGAGACTAGGTGCAGTGACTCATGCCTGTAATCCCAGCATTTTGGGAGGCCGAGGCGGGTGGATCATTTGAAGTCAAGAGTTTGAGACCAGACTGACCAACATGGTGAAACCCATCTCTACTAAAAATACAAAACATTATCCAGGCATGGTGGTGGATGCCTGTAATCCCAGCTACCCAGGAGACTGAGGCTGGAGAATCACTTGAACCCAGGAAGCGGAGGTTTCAGCCAAGATCTTGCCATTGCACTCCAGCCTGGGCAACAAGAGCAAAACTCTGCCTAAAAAAAGAAAAGAAAGTCAGAGGCTCTTCCTGGTTTCTCTTGAAGTCATCATGGCAACTCTGAGTCTATCCTTTCACTTCTTCCTCCTTGTTTCCATTTCACACATTTCTCCATATTCACACTCAACCTTTGGAAATGAGGGGAGGGTAAAATGGACTCTGTCTTATTTGATCTCTGTGGCCCCTTAGAATGGCATTTTCCTCTTTCACGTTAAGATCCTTTAAATATCAAATGATACTTTTCACATCCTCCAATTTGTCTCCTCTCCACGTGCAACGTCTGCCTTCCTATAGTTGTTCCTCTTGTGACAGGTTTGCTGATTCCACCACCCCGGGCATCTCTTCTGTATTTACTCTTATATGACAACATCCCTCTTAAGGTGTGATGCTCACCATATGACACTGCTGCACTGGGCTGTAATTTCTCTGGGAAAAAATTATTTTCTCCTCTGAAGCATACATCCATAACAATGCTTTTAGCTGCAAGTAGCATAATAACCAAGTGACAGTGGCTTGACTAGAGAGGAAATTATCTCATTTAAATAGAAGACTAAAGGATAAACAATTCCAGAGTTGGTTAATTCAGTAACTTAAATATTTTAGGGCTCTGGGTTGGCTGCTCTTCAATTCCTTGCCTTTTCTCTCATGGTAGCCATATGGCTGTCAAAGCTTCAGGCATCACACCTTTATTTCAAATAATTCAGCAAGAAGGATAACAAAAGGCATCCATGTGCTGTTTTTTCTTCTTATCAGGGGTGAAAAGAACCACAC